TGTCTCCCTTCTGTACAGATCAAGCAGGTACTAGCTTCTTCTCTCCACTCTATACATAATCACAGAACAGTGAAGTGAATTGCCTAGGGTCACAAAGCGGGGAAAGGAAAGTGGCAGGCTAACATGCAGGTGGTCCCACTGACCGTCCATGCTCAAAGCCCCGTGCGTCACTGACATGGCCCAGCAGAACCCCGCAGGCTACGGGGCCCTCCTCGAGAATTCCGCAGGTACAGCAGGTCTGGCAGGTGCACCCCCAGCCATGCACAGCTCACCTTGCTTCTTGTTCCCAGGAGTAACTTTCTGTGGGTTTTACCAGTTGTTTGTTTTTACAAGTTGAATTTGGGCAAGACAGGAGAAAGGAAGGGATATACTTAAAGCTGACTTTGTTTCTTTCTAAAACTAAAACACATGAAGTGTGTTTAAGGCGCTAAACACTCCAAAAAGTGAGTTAAGGGACAGGTCTGGGAATCTCAGCTCCCAGGTCAATCCTGCAACCTAGGGTCTGGGCAGCATTCATGAGCCCCTGGCCTGGCTAGGCCCCACAGAGCTACACCTGCTCAGGGTTTGACAGATCCCAGTTTATCCAAAACTCTAGGTTCTCAGGGGGACATGACCTACATCCTGGTATAAAGAGTCAAAAAGATGGGGTGGTGCCTGTGGCTCAGCGAGTAGGGCTGAGGTGGCGGGATCAAACCTAGCCCCGGCCAAAAACAAAAACAAAAACAAAAACAAAAAAGAGTCAAAAAGAAGGAAGAAACTACCCATCTTCGCAGAACCCAGAGGGCCGAGTATGTGGCCTGTGGCAAGCTTGTTGCCAAGGCACATTTCTGTTTGGTTATTTGGGAGGGAGGGGAGCTGGCCTTTGTAACAGTATTCTAACTTTTGCCTCACTCGAGTCACACTTAAACTTTTGCGATAGAGAGAGGCAGATATGTTGCCAAGATTTTTTTTAACTGTCTCTGAAATTCAGTGTTGAAAACTGACATTTAGAAGGAAAAATATGATGATGTCAGCCTCTACTTAGTGCCTTTGTCTTTGTGTATCTGCCCCTCGCAGTCTCCTCTTCTCACGTGACATTCGACCCAAGAGGTCTGCTAATTAGATCTCTCTGGCCCATCTTAACATGATTAATTATTTCACTAAAAAGTTAAACACCTGCTGAAGGCCAAATGTGTGCTAGGCATCAGGCATCTGAAAATGTCTGAGAGAAGCGACACATGGCTGTGGAGTTCATAGTTGCATGAAGAGGTTGGACCCACAAATATATTATTATTCTAAAACGTGGCCAGGTGTGGTGGCTTGCACCTATAATCCCAGCCCTTTGGGAGGCCAAGTGGAAGGATTATTTGAGGCCATAAGTTTGAGACCAGCCTCGACAACACAGTGAGACTCAGTCTCTACCAAAAAAAAAAAAAAAAGGAGGAGAAAAATCATTCAGGCAAGGTGGCAAGTGCCTATAGTCTCACAAGTGCCTAAACACACTTTATGTGTTTTAGTTTTAGAAGGTTTTGCAAGCTGGAGCAGGAGGATCAGTTGAGCCCAGGAGTTTGAGGCTGTAGTGAGCTACGACTATGTCACTGCGCTCCAGCTAAGGCAACAGAGCGAGACCTTGTGTCTTGGGAAATGTCTCACAGAGATGGCTTTAGGCACTCGGCAATGGAGCTTAGCAGGTAGAAAAGTATAGGAAAGTCACTTCAGGCAGAGGGAAACTGAGCCAGGGCCCAGGCCACCACATGGCTGATGCCAACAGGAGTGAGGTGCTGGGGCAGGCAAGAGCAGACTGGACAAGGGTTCAATGGTCAGAATAAGGAACCTGCAGGATGGCCTAAGACCAAAATGAACCATCAAGGTTTTAAGCCAAGGAATAACACTATCTCACTGGTGTTTCAGATAATTTTGCTGGCCTTGCCAAGAACAAACTGGAGCAGAGAAACACCAAAGGAAGGCAGTGGTGTAGAATTTCTTGTAAAGCCCAGATGAAAGACAACAAGGACATGAGACAAGGCAGTGGCCATGGCCATGAGAGGCAGGTTTGTGATGGGCTGAGACCTGATGTGGGGATGGGGGTAAGGGAGCTGTGGAAGATGCCTGTGGCTTGTGTGAGGTTCTTTAGAATAGCGAAAGAAAACAGCCTCAGTACTGGACATGCCTAACTTGAGGCTTCCACTTGTCACCCAGAATAAAGGCCTGCCTCTCTGTTCTGGCTTCATTCTCTCCCTTAAGCATAAATCAGATTGCTGGGCTGCAGTCCCAACACAGGGCAAACAGGCCTGAGGCCAGTGCTATCTGGCTGCAGGTGAAGAACTGAAAGTGATAAGATGCAGCTGCAGGGATGGACAGGACGGCCCTCGTTTGCACATCCCAAACGCCTGGGGAGTGAGCGCTCCACCTCTCTAGTCCCATGTACAGAGGCACGCACACACGTGTGTAAACACACACAAACACATGTGCATACACCCCACAATTACAACAGCCTTTCAGCAGGCCAGTCACTGAGTATCATCTCTACCCGGGTTTCTCTGGCAATTTCGGGGGACAGTTGACAAGCAGGCCAACTTCCCAGAAAAATGGATGGACAGCAACATCTAAGGCCCTAGTAGGCTTGCACGTACCCAGTGAGTCCTAATTTCCAAAGAATTTACCTTCTCAGGTGAGCTATCCTATGAGGTGTGGTTATCTCTAAATGAGACTGAGGGCCAGTGAGGTTTAATGGCCAGAAACGAAGCCTCTTGCCCCTTTAGAGGGCAGCTCCCACTGCGGCAGGATGGAGGAGAGTGAAGCAAGCACAGATGAGGACAGGAGGCAGGGCACCCCATTTTCATACCTCTCAGCCCCTTCCACACATCAGCCAGCTCCATCTCCCCTGCCCCCAGTTTCCTGTTTCAAAGCAAAGCCTGGCCCAGCACACCAGCCTCACCCCCACTGGCCAGTGGGACACCAAGCAGCCTGGCAGAGAGCACGTGTGAGCACCTGAGGAGCAGGGAAGATGGAAAGGAGAGCAGATTTGGGATCAAACTCAAGGACACGGAAATGCAGCTGGCCACAAAGAAGCTGCTGCGGCCTCCAAGGGAGTCAGTCAAGCCCAGCACCCCCTTCCCTGCCTTCTACCCACCCGGCGATCTCAGGAAGAGGGGCACTGACCTTCAGCTGTCTGTGATTGCTTAGTAGGCAGCCACGCAGCACAGGGTCCCAGGTCCTGAGCAGGGCGTGCTGGAGACAGGCATCCCCCCAGCCACTGCCCTCGTCAGGAGCATGACTGGCCAGTGGGGGGTCCAGGGTACAGAGGGACTCGGTGTCCACAACCAGGGAAGAAAGCACCTCACACTCTGGCCTGGGGCTGCTTGCTGCATCCCAGGCAGAATCTGCAGAGCCAGAAGCAGTGGACAGATGGAAGGGCAGAAAGACACGTGCAGGGTCCTGGCGGGGCCCGTCCAAGCCAGTAGTTTTGGTGCCCATGTCCTGGGGGCTCTGACGAGGGTGCTCAGCCTCTCTGGGTGGCGGGCAGCCTTCCGCTTCCCCACGTTCCTCGGCAGAGCCCAGGGAAAGCCGAATGAAGCTAAAGCTTGAGGTAAAGGCCTCGTGAGAGCCAGGAGGGGCTGAGGGGAATAAGGGGCCTCTTCCAAGGCCACAGCTGTTGCTGCTCAACTCTGTCAGTGCCAGAGAGCCTGTCGCCGGGGCGCCCATCACTCCTTCACCACAGGCTGCATCCCGGCCAGCATCTGGGGCCTCGCAACTGTCCATGGATGAAAACTCTTGCTGACACCCAGCATCCCCAGGGCCACAGGGCCTGGTGAGCCCAGAGGGCAGTCTAGTGCCACCTCTGAGCTGAGTCCCAAAGCCTGCTGAGGTTCCTCTCACAGAGGTTAGAGCCAGGCCTGGGTGGCCCACAGAGGTCACAGCAGGCGCTACTGTGCTCCTGAGCAAGAGGCCTGTACACCGGCCTCCCAGGCCAAGGCCACACCGTCCAACCCTGGACTGAGAGTGGTGGGACTCCTCCCCACGCACCCCTGCTGGGACTCGGGACGGCATGCCCACGTCTGGGGAAGGGAACCTGATCCTGGGCCCAGCTGAGCTTCTCATGTAGCCGGGCCTCCGTGCCAGCCGCCTCCGTGAGGACACCGCAGGTGGTATGCAATCCGGGCTGCCTGAGGAGAAAGAGAAAACAGCACCATAAACCGGCAAATCTCACAGACTCGGCTGGCACTGCATGTGGAGAACATCCCTAGGTTAAAAGGTCATCTGTCTGCCAGCTCGGTGGTCCCCGAGACCAGCCCAGTATGAAAGTCCTGACAATCCTCAGGAAGTGTTTGCCTTGAACGTGCAGAAATCAACACAGCGTCTGGACTCCTCTGTTCAGCAGAGCAGCTGGCACTGCTGCACGTTATGCCAGCAAGTCAGCATGAACATTGGAGACGCGACCCTGGAGCTCCCGATCCCTCCAGCATCCTGCCTGTTGGTCTGTTATGGTGCCTCGGCACTTTCATCCTGGAGTGGGGTCTGGAAAGTACTTGATTTGAAACCAAGATGCCAGAGTGCTCCCCAAATGAGATCCAATCATTGTTCCAGCCACCCATTGCACAACATGTGAATTTTCATTATTTGCTATCCACATCCCAGCACGCCGGATCTGTTGCTGTGGACAGTGGACAGCTGGCTGTAGCATGATGTAGGACCATCACTTCATCTCACACAGTGGATTACAGGAGGCCTGCCGGGTGTTCTCCAAACCAAGGCCTGAGTTCCCTTCCTAGCTATGCAATAGAAATAGGAACAATAAAAAATTCTGACACCTCATTGCCCAGTTCAACCCCAATTGTACCACCTGCTGGCTGTGTGACTTTCCACAAGTTTCTTAACCTCTCTGTGCCTTGGTTTACTCACCAGTAAAATGGCACTATGAACATACCTGTCCCACAGGATTATCATGAGCATTAAGCTAAGTGAGTCACTAGGAAGACAGCACCTGGCACACAGAGTCAGTGTAATACAAACAAGCTATTATTTTTACACTACATAGCACTTAGCTACTCATACCATGTTTTTGTCTACAGAAATTTCACTTGTTCCCTACCAAATGACCAAGAACTACAGCCTTCCCCTGAAGTCTGAGATTCACTTTCCAGATACAAGTGGCCAAGTGATAGTGCAAGTGGCCAAGTGATAAACCAGAGTGCAAGTGGCCAAGTGATAAACCAGAGTCTACTGATTCTACGAACCCACATAGTGATCTTACCCTAAGGGCCTGGCCACATCATAAATCAGGCATAAAAATAAAGCCAGGCAGCATTAGACCACAGCCTATGGCAGGAAGTGGAACAAAACTTCACTCCAAGCCCACACATCCTGCTTTGCCTCCCAAAACATGCACAGTACATGGTCCTGGAATCCTTGTGGTAAGCAGAGATCAGATCACTCGACAGTGAGGATCCGCTGGAGCTATGAGCCTGGCACACACCAGTCCCTGGGGGATGGAGGGGGGCATTTCCCTGGAGAAAGGAGCACAATGACCTACAGCTGCCTGTGCCCTGACTATGAGCAGCCAAGGACAACAGACCTAAGACGTGCTCACCCAGAGATCTGTTCATGCCAGAAGGGCCAGTGCCACCCGGTGTTCATAGAATTCTGGAAGCCTGCAGTGAAAGGAGGAAGGGAAGAGGGACTACCAAGGGGTGGCAGAGAAAATCAGTAAAGGAACAGGGAGGCACTTAACTCCATAATGCTGGGAGATCGGTACATTCTCCTTTTGTAAGTAACAAAATGAAAGCTCAGAAGGCTTTAATTTGCCCTAGAACTCCCACATCTGAACCGAGGCTTGTCTGATTCCAAAGCACATACCCATTCTAGTCCCTTTGCTCCAAGTATGTATCAGGCTTATAGCTTAAAATGACAGCAAGGCAGAAGACAGATTTATTTTTCTCCTTTCTTTGAGACAGAAACCATGTAAAGTTGGAACCAGGAGAAAAGGACATGATGGAAATGTATAGGATCATTAATAGGACAAATCAGGTTGCCTTGTGATCTGGTCCAGTGGGAGCCCCGACCTTTCCCCTGGGGCTTTCATCATCTCAGGACACAAAGCTCCCTGCAGCTGCAGCATCTGGGCCTGACCTGAAGGAGAAGCAGGTGGGGTGCCGAGGCAGGCCGAGAAGGACTGACACTCACATCCATTGAAAAACCAGCAAAACATTTTCTAAAGAACAAGAAATCCAAAAGGAAGTCAGAACATCAAATTCTGGCTTCAATTGCCAAAGAAAAACAAGTCGATAATTTCCTATCTTGAAAATGAGTCCTATGCCGATTGTCTTTTGGCTTAAAAAAAAACTTGTAACTATTTTTTTTAATGCAAATACCAGTGCCCCCAATAACACTTCCAAAGTTAAAAGAACAAGGCTAAGTAGAAAATAATTTGAAATTTCATGTCTTTTCAAACAAAGCCTGAGGGCACTTTTGGCCTGAGACGCTTTTCTAAAACCACTCAACCGGCTC